CCCACGTTCCCGCCGACTGCCACGGAGAGCAGTGCGGGCTCCTTGCCCCGCAGCTATGTGTACGACGTCTGCTTCGCTGCCGGGACCGTCAACAGTGAGTTTCGATTCCTCAGGCCTCTCTTCCCCTGCTTCCCAGCCGGGCTGCCCCCCGGCCCGGGCGAACAGCGGAGCTCGGTGTGCTCGCAAGATGCGGCCAGCCTCGGAGAGGAAGGCGACTGGGCTGCACAGGTGAGGGACCTCTCCGGGCCGAGGCGATTGGTGGGGTGGAGGGGGTGTCATCCTGGCAGCAAGATCTATTGAAATTGTGGAGCTGCTGGTGGAGGAGCCCCTGGGGCGGGAGGAAAGCGCAGAGGGGGTCTCAGAGCCGCTGGCGGCGCCTCCCAGGAGGATCCGGCAGGGCTCAGCTGTTCCCCAAATGCTGTCTAATCGCGCCTCTCTGCATTATAGGAGCATAGAATAGCTTGGGCTGGAATGGACCTTTAAAGGCTATCAAATCCAAACTCCCCTGCAATGAACAGGGGCATCTTCAAGTAGATCACGTTGCTCAGAATCCCATTCCATCCTTGACCTTGAATATTTCCTGAGATGAGGCACCTACCACATCTCTGGGCACCTGCACGCATATCTATGCTGAGTATTCATGTTACCTCAAGTCTTCTGTGTTCCTTCAAAAGGGAGCAGCTGGGCTTTGAGAGGTAGAGCTAGAGATGTGTCCCCATAGTGGATCCTAACTACGCACTGTGTAGAGCCTATGGGGTCATTGGAACTCTCCACTCTCCCACTGAGTCCAAGTCACCTCTGACACCCTCTTACAGTCACCCCTTATCATTTCTGTATTTCATAACCACTGATGACTTGGAGTCACTCTACTGCAGATTGTCAGATCTGCAGTAGCCTCAGGGGAGACAAGAAGTCTTCTTTATCAAGAAGAACATAAACATTAAACCATATTTACTGTTTGTGAGAAAGTGACTTTATTTTAGTTTCTTACCATCTTGAATTACTCCTCAGATTCATAAAAGGTTTGCAGTAGTGCCTTTGTGGAGGACGGTTATTGGCCTTAGATGTTCCCCTTTCAGGTCAGAGACCCAGCGACTAGTCTAACCTCTTCTCTGGGTAGAGAAGAGTGGTGTCACACAGGCAGTGGTGTAAGACATGCCCTCTAAGTTTCTCCATGATGCCTGCTACCCTTCAATGTCCAAATGACAATGGCTCTCTCTGTTCTTTTCAGGGCAGAGCCCCCCTCAGTGAAGACACAGAGCCCAGAACTACAGAAGCAGCTTGCTCTGCAAACAGGGAGCTGGAACTAAATGTCGCTTCTGATCAAAACCCTTGGCTCACCCATCAGTAACTGAAGAGAAAGACAAATATGTCTGTCCTCACAGGGAAAAGAGAACAAAGAGACCAAGCACCCACCAGAAAGGTGTCAGGGAGGTCAAGGTTTCTCTGTGAGACAGCAAAACCATTCTCCTTTTGAGCAGTACTTTGTCCATGTAGGTATATCGTAATTGTGATGTGGATGGAGGACTGTGTTGCACGCTGATTACTCAATAGTGTAAGATTCCGAGAGTTCTACTGCTACTAAAAGTTAAGGGAAATACTGAAAACTGGCAGTAGATCTCCAAGAGAACTTTTTTGCTGTGTCACGTTTTCTATTGTTTTGACGGGGTTTCCTTCTGTGGATTTTTAATTTGCTTGGTTTTATGGAGAGGCTCTGTATTAATGTCTTAATTTTCTGCCATCTGTTCAATACCAGGTCAAACAAATATTAAGCAAAATTAAGTGGTACTTGCAAAGAAATTTCTTAACAGCAAGAACCTTTTGACATTAGGAACCACTAACATTGGTACATTTGGCATATTTGAGCAGTTTACAAGATCTCCTTACTGTAAAGAGTGAGCTTTGAGCAATGTATATAGGTTTTTTTTGTTAAGGTATAGTTGAACTTAGCATTTCAGGATTATTTAGTGTAAAGTAGTAGAGAATTAAAAGTACTGTTTATGGTTTTACAGTAAAATAGGCAAAACTGTCTACAATTAACTTAGGACTCTGTAGAATATAGGCCTTCAAGAAACTTTCTGTTTTCTTTTGCATTCATTAATCAGACTATAAAGTATTGTGCTATTTCCTGTTGCTCATACATTTATGAGTCAGGTTCCTGATGACAGAAAACAATAAAACTTACTTGGAACTCCCTCGAGTGTGCTATCTCAAAGATAATTTCTCACAGCCATCGCTGAGGAAATAGCCACCTCAAGAGCAGGATGCTGGGAACAAACCCACAAATTTGGAGCGGATCTTATGCAGGGGAAATCAGAACGCCGAAGAAAGGTGGAGGGAGTTTTTCTGAGCCAAGGCAGAGGTCTGAGAGATGCTGCTCCCAGCCTATTCCCGAAGGCTCCTAGCCTGAGAAGTCGTGAACTGGGAGAACAATCTCGGCCCTTTCCTGAAATCACTGTGGCGATCACTGCCACGGTTAGTGGACCAGCTCATTTGGTTGCTGGACACCTGTAACAATGCACAACTTTATTAGCTGAACAGCCTGAAAGTAATTAATTCAAACCATTGTAATGAGTCAAATTAGAAAAAAAAAACCCAAACAACCACAACCCAGGTTTAAATAAATCGCGTTTTCAAATACCAGGCATTCAAAAACAGAGGCACTACTCGTTCAAGAGGTGGCCATACTTGGAACAGGGTTGTATGGACAGTTAAATCTGTATGGCTTGCCCTCGGAAGACAGAAATGGAGCCGTTAAAATCTCTGCTTTCCAGGCTTTGCGCTGGGAAATCTCGTCCTTCTGCAGATCAGCCGCCTGGTGCCGCTGCTGACCGCGGAGGCTCCGCGCAGCTCCAGCTCCGCCGCCCCCGGGATTCGGGCGGGCGTAGCTGCATCATCCCGGGCTGCTCTGTCCGAGGGTCCGCAGGCTGTAGCAGCAGCTCCGTCCAGCTCACAGGGGAGGAAATCGGGTCGGTGGGAGTGAATGGAGCTGAGGAAGAGCGAGGAATCGCTCTCCGGGCGAGCAATGACTCTGATCCTTCTCCTTTGCATCTCGGGGGTGACAGCAGAAACCGCTCGGTACTCTGTGCCTGAAGAGATGGAGAGAGGCTCCTTTGTGGCGAATATCGCTAAGGATTTGGGACTGACCGGTGAAGAATTATTGGCTCGTCAGGCTCGACTCGTTCCTGAAGGAGAAAAGCAGTATTTACAGCTGAACCAGCACAGCGGGGATTTGGTGGTGAGAGAGCAAATGGACCGGGAGGAGCTGTGCGGACAGAGCGATCCCTGCCTGCTGCGTTTCGAGGTGCTGCTGGAGAGCCCACTGCAGTCCTTCCGAGCTGAGGTAAGCCTCACCGACATAAATGATCATGCTCCTGTGTTCTTAAATAAAGAGATAGTTTTAAAGATCCCGGAATCTGCATTGCCGGAGACTCGATTTTTGTTGGAAAGCGCTCAGGATCCAGATGTAGGAAACAATAGTCTTCAGCATTATAGTATCAGCTCGAACGAGTATTTTCGTATCTACACCCGGCGGCGGAGTGACCGTAGGAGGTATGCCGAGCTGGTGTTGGATCGAGCCCTGGACAGGGAGCAGCAGGCAGAAGTTGTTTTCAGCATCACGGCTGTGGATGGTGGGACTCCACCGCGCTCGGGTACAGCCTTAATCCGTGTGGTAGTCCTGGATATAAATGACAACATCCCATTATTTACCAGGAGTCTGTATAAAGTTTCTGTAAAGGAAAATAGCCCCCAGGATACTTTAGTGGTGGCGGTGTCTGCTAGCGATTTAGACTCGGGAACAAACGGAGAAATAACCTATTCTATAGTTCAAAATTCAGAGGAAAATCTCGAGACGTTTAAAATAAATCCAGAGACAGGTCAGATTCGACTCAAAAAGCCTTTGGATTATGAGGAAACAAAGACATACGAGATAGACGTTCAGGCCACAGATGGAGGGGGTCTGTCTGCACACTGCATGGTGGAAGTGCAAGTGGAGGACGTGAACGACAATGCCCCCGAGGTGATCATCACCTCTCTCACGAGCACCCTGTCTGAAGCTGCCCCTCTGAACACCGTGGTGGCCCTCTTCAACGTGCGGGACCGGGACTCGGGGAACAACGGCAGGACGACATGCGAGCTGCCAGGTGAGCAACCCTTCAGCATCACTCCGCTGGCGGCCGATGCGTACGCGCTGGTGACATCAGAGGCTCTGGACAGGGAACAGGTGGCGGAGTACAACGTGACGGTGCGAGCCCGCGACGAGGGCTCCCCCGCGCTCTCAGCATCCAAGATACTGCTCGTGCGGCTCTTGGATGTTAACGACAACGCGCCCACCTTCACTCAGGCCATTTAATGCGAAACCGAGCCCGCGGGGACGAGCCTGGGCCGCCTGAGAGCCACGGACGCAGACGCGGGAGAAAATGCCCGGGTGAGA